GTATCTATAAAGATTTTCCATGAAATTCTGAACACTGCAAAATCCTATTTTGGGAAATTTGGAATCCTGGAAAATCCTAATCTATTTTAGGAAATTTGCAACTTTGGTAAAACCTGATTACATATTGTGGGTTGAATATTTCACATGTCCATTCCTACTATATGTGGCTGGATAACTCCCTTCACCTTTACAACCAGCATTACATGTTAAGCATCTGATGAACAGATTTCCCAGCTTATCCCTGATTTGATATATAGGTCACATTTTTGTCTGAGGAAAGTTTGCTGGGGTGAAAAGACACAATAATATTGGTTTGCTAAGCAATTCAGATATCCTATTATAAATTCACCATATGGTGCTATGCCAGCCTTCATTTCTTGCTCAACACACCTTTGGGGAAGGACTATATCTCACTGGTAAGAGTATATACCCTACCAATGTGTAAGGTCCCAGGCTTAATCCTGGGCACCATGAAGTGAAGCAAGGAAAAACTCCGGTCTGAAATCAAGCTCACAACTACTTAAAGCAACACAAAGTTTTTGAAAAAGAATCTACTCTGGTGTTAAAAGGAGGAATTTGCATAATCATGATATACCTGATCACTTCCAAATATAAAGCTCAAAAACACTCAAATGTCAGAATCAACAATATGCTTGGTAGGCCATGATGAACCCAGGTAAACTGTACTTACATCCAAATATTCATCCAGTCCTAGCTTTGTAAACTCATACTGGAGGTGAACTCTGAAATTCATGTCTTCAACTGAGTGAACAACTATGTTAATAAACTGCATGCACGCCACCTGTAAAGAAACAAGCATAATCATACAACAGAACATGACAAAAAAGTATGCTATTTTTGTGAAGAGGAGGGATAAGAACAGGGACAAAAGATGGAGAATATCTTATATACACATACTGGATATTACCAGTGTGGCAAGAGTATTTCAAGATTATGCATGAGGACTGTGTGTGTGTATGTGCTCACAGGAATTACAGAAAATACAGTCACAGAGTCTTCTCAGAAATTATACTTATCCAAAATAAAGATCATGCAAGGAAACAGTCCTTTAAAATAAAAGGGAAAGGAGTGTAGATAAGGGGATGATTACAATATAATCCTATACATGCTTAGGTAGTATGCTTTTCCCTACATGCTAGCTCTTTGGTATGAATAGAAATAATATTTTAAAATATTTTTAATTGTCAAAAAGAAGGGTGTTTTTGCATACTGATGAGCAGAATCCTGACAAGAGTCTTCACAGGCTTATTTTGCACAAAATTGGCTTGATTGCTTTGTATGGGACACAGCAATTCCTTTGCAAGAAACTGCATCTTCTGATGAGAAAATATTTCTGCACAAAAATTTAATTTTCTGTACAGAAAAACCTGTTTCCTGCACAGAAAGTGCTAATTTTGCATAAAATGAGTCACAAATTACAAGTAGGCTTTGAAACTATGTGTTCCTTTACAGTAGGAAGAAAACTGCTAAAATATTTTTTTCCTTCAAGAAGAAACTTAATAAAGAATTATATTTCTGCCCTCATGTAAGGGTTCAATTATGTTTATTTTCAGCCAAGCCAGTGTAAGTTTACAATTTTCAAACACTTTCTTGATGCTCTTTCTTCTGCCCAATGTTTGTGAGCATCTGTACTGATTCTGGGATTCCTTCCTGCTTCTGCTAAGTAGGGCAGGTCCTCTAGAGATCATCTAAGCTGTCATCCCCCACTGATTTTAATTATCCCCTCACTAGTAACTCAGTGGTAAGTTACCAAGGGACCTTGCATTGTGCTTTCCACCTCGGACTCTGCAGAGACTTTCCTCCCTGCCACTCCTGTGCGGGCTGAGACCTAGTAGGCACATGAAAGTGGCTGAAACTACAAACATTAAGGTTGATGGTGACAAATGCTCACTAATCTCTACATCAGGGGTAGGCAACCTTTCCCCTTTAAGGACAGAGGGACTTCAGCTCCCAGAAGCCTCAGCCATGTTGGCCAATAGTCCCATGTTGGCCAACAGCTCCTGGGATTCTGGGAGCTGAAGTCCCTCGGCCCTTAAAGGGGAAAGGTTGCCTACCCCTGCTCTACATTAATCATACGTAGTATATTTAAAGAGCATGAAATATAGCATGCTGAAACAAACACTCTGGTTTATTTTAAAATAGCACTTTGTTCCCTGGCACAACAATCAGAAATAGGAATACCTTTTCTCCTCTTTACATTAGAATACACCCACACACATATCAACTCATACTCTCGACCAGATTCCATGTCAAGTTAATGGCCAGCAGGCTTTTATTTTACTGATGTACTTGCTCTGTACTGTACTTGCTCAAGTTTCAGAAAGGAATGGGGAGCCTTGTTTGACCTCTTCCCTACTATCACAATAAATATGGCTTTTCTTAGTAAAGAACAACCTACAAATATCAGAAACCAGAATGGATGCAGAATAACAGAAAGCTCCAAAATCCATCATGCAAAGCCTTTATAGAGTGGCTCGTCTTTTGCCTAGTACTTCTTTTTTCATACTTCCTGGAGTCTTTTCTAGACACATGATAATCTATTTAAAACTAGATGGTAACAGAAGTGTGTGATCTGTCAGACGGTGATGATGATGATTTTTTTCATTTATATTCTGTCTTTCTCCCAATAATGGGACTCAAGACAGCTAACAACATTTGAAAACAATAAGATAAAAAAACTATGTGCCATTAATTCTCGGTTGCTTCTTCTGCACAACTGTTTTATTTTTATCACTTGGTAGAAATAACTCAAGGATGCAAATGTTACTATTAATGAGCTCAAATTCTACTTCCCTACTTCCCAGATTCTTTTTTTCAAAAAAAGTAGATTGGTGGACTTTAAAAAGCAATGTTTATTAATATGCTTTGGTTTGCTCTCTGGATTTTTGTTTTGAATTTGCTGCCTTCTTCAGATTATTGTTCTTATTAACAGTCTTGCCTTTCCTTGGACTTGATCCTGTGGACTCTCTGTTACAGAAACATGTTGTTTCCTCTTTTACTTTAGTAAGTGGTAAAAATGTAATAATTGAAAAAATAGGAAATTATAGTGAGTTATCATTGTCCACCTGTTCACGTAATTAGATTCATGTTTTGGGGCTACTATTGATTTTTTAAAAAGGTCTCTCAGTCTCTAGAAGCATTTTGATTTCCACTGCTGAAACTGGTTCTCTCTCAGTGAAGGGGGAAGTAAGAGCAGATTAATAAGTAGGCATGAGGAAACTGCAAACAGTTGAACATGTAAGTGCCACATTTAACTGAAGAATAGAAAGAGGAATAGCTACAATGCCAGTTCCCTAATGATGTTCTATTTCACAAGGCAGCAGCATGCTGCACATTTCAGAAGTTTATTCCATTTCCCTCTGAGTTACTACTGTATCTTATTTTAAGCTAAGCATCCCTAGTTGTTGTTTATATTCTCTGGCTGTTGAACCAAGAGAAATTTTGCTGATTTTTAAAGTAAAATTCCCAGACATGTTGGACCGAATCAAATTTTCCCACTAGGAAGCATGGCAAAGCCAGAGATTTTCAAGAAAGCTTATGAGGAGAGAAAATGTTGGGGAAATTGTAGAAGTATTGGTTAGATATCACATTGCACCCTTGCAAAGTCTCTAAAGGAACTAGGTTCAAGTCTCAATTAAAAGACAACACCACATAAGCTACAAAATATTAACTTTGCAT